GTCGTTTGTTTCCGTGTTTCTCTTGCTTTTTGTGGATTTTTCTTGATTTTGCGTGTTTCTCTTGATTATTTGCTTATTTTCTATTTCTCTTGCTTTTTGCTATGTGTGTTCTTGTACATATTGTGTCGTTTTAGTTTTATTTTTGTGTTTTTCGTTTCTTGGTCTCGTGTGCCTTGGTTGTTTTGCTTTTCTTGTGCGAGGTACTTCGCTAGACGAGCTCCGATGGATCCATACGACTATGCTTATGCCGGTAGCTTGTCTCGTGGATGCCCCGACATCTACCAAGAGGAGATGTACCCGTATGGAGGGCCGCCCTATCCGTATCCGAGCCATTTTTACCCACCATCTCAAGTTGATTTTGATTATTACTCTCCGGGTCATGACGATACACCTCACTACTATCCACCACCTCCCGATTATTGTGACGCCACACTTCCACCCGAGCCGACTCGGGAAGCTTCTCCAAGCCGTTTAGACGAGATTATGGAGTATTTGGAGAAGTGCAATCAATCTCTTCGCGCTTCAATGGCTCCCATATCCGAAAAAGAAGAAACCGAGTCCATTGCTCCATCCTCTACATCGTATGAGCACCTATCGGTTGGCCAACCTTGTACATTGGGTTCCGAAGCTTCAATTCCAACAATGGTTGAGCCTACCGAACGACACCGAGATGTTTTGACGAGCACTCAAGAGGCACTTGCGAGCCTCATGTCGATCATTGAAGAGTTTCATAGTTGGAAGAGCATTCCCATTCCATCCGTTCTACAAATCACACTCACGAAGTTCGACTCTACCGTTGTCTCTTTTCTTGATTTGGATGCCTCTCACATTTCGCTCGGTAGGTATTGTTCTCTATCGGCGAGGATTATTCGGGAGAGTACTCGGTTAGAGGGAGAATTTCGAGCTATGGTGGATAGGTTTGCCTCCTTGAAAGAGATGGGCCTCACTCTCGTTTATGACGGTACGCAACCTCTCGACACGAGTGAGGACATCGACGATTTGGTTGCCAAAGAAATCTCCTCTCTTGACGATTCGGCCGTGCATTCTACATTAGGTACGTCAACCTTTACTTCCGGTAATTGTGCTTTGAGTTCGATTTCTATTGTTGAGAGTGAGTGCATGGACTCTGGAGTTGATATGGTGTATGGTATGGGAGAAAGTTCATTTGAGGATTCGGTTGTGCCGAGTGGATTTGATAGTGCTCGGGAGGATGATTTTGAGGAGGAGGATGAGGTAGTTGATGATGTGGTGGATGTTGTTGAGGAGGATTCCGAGCAGTTATGTGATGTCGTGGACCCGAGGTGTGCGTTGATTGATAATTTAGCTTGTGATGTTGAGTATGACGTGGTTCCGATGTCCTTTGGGTCGTCATTTCGTATTGTTGAGAATCGTGACTATTTGGAGGAGTCTAGCGTGTTCACACCCATGCTCCCGATGCTTGAGATCGATGAGTACGCATCCGAGATGATACATATGATAATTGGGATCAATTCGACGTGCTCCACGGACACTTTCATATTTTCGGAGGTCGAGTATGGGGCCTTGATTCGTAAGGAATTATCTCTTCTTGTGGTGGTTGTTGATATCCGTGCTCGGTTTCACAAGAATGGGGGCACGAGATTTTATTGGGCCCGCCTTTGCTCTATTCTCCCGGTCCGTCTACTTTCGGAGAATCCAAAGGCGTGGCACGATCGTCATTTATTTTTGGATCCCGGTTGATTAGGTGCGTATACGTCGAGCTCAAGACGTTAAAATGAGCGCTTCGTGGGAGGCAACCCACGGTTATTGCATTTTCTTGCTTTTCGCTTTCTTTCGATAATAAATAGCCCCGCAAGCCATACAATACACGGTAATTTCGGAGAAGGAAACGGGATTCGGGGCCGATATTATGTTGAAAATCGGGTTGAAATATGGCAAGGATTGAAATCGGGTCGAAAATCGGTCGAAAATGCTCAAAATATGCCTAAGTATGGAAGAAAGTTGAAATCGGGTCAAAAATATGTTTAAGTATGGGAAAAATGGCCCCAGGCCCGCTCTGGCCCGGGACAGCCCGCACTGGCCCGAGGAAGCCCGCACCTGCCCAGGCACTCGCGACCTAGCGGCCTGCCCCGCGACCTCGCGCCCGTGCGCTCGCGCCTCGCCAGC